CATGGTGCGTCCACATCTTGAATACTGCGTCCAACTCTGGGCACCCCATCTCACAAACGACAGAGTGGAACTGGAAGAGGTTCAGAGAAGGGCAGCAATGAGGATCAAGGGTATGGAACTACTTCCTCACGAGGAGAGATTAAACAGTTTAGGGCTATTCAGTTGAGAAAAGAGAAGACTAAAGGGAGAGATGACAGAGGTCTCTACAATCCTGACCGGTGTGGAGAAGGGAACAGAGAAATTATATTTACCTTTTCACTAGGACTGTCGATTAATTGCAGTTAACTCAGGTGATTAACTCAAAAAAATTAATCATGATTAATCGCACTGTTAAACAATAGAATACCAATTGAAATGTATTAAATATTTTTGGATGTTTTTCTACATTTTCAAATATATTGATTTCTATTACAACACAGAATGCAAAGCGTACAGGGCTCACTTTATATCATTACAAATATTTGCACTGTAAAAAATGATAAAAGAAACAGTATTCAGTTCACCTCATACAAGTACTGTAGTGCAAACTCTTTATCATGAAAGTTGAACTTACCAATGTAGAATTATGTACAAAAAATAACTGCATTCAAAAATAAAACAATGTAAAATTTTAGAGACTACAAGTCCACTCGGTCCTACTTCTTGTTCAGCCAATCCCTCAGACAAACAAGGTTGGTTATGTTTACGGGAGATACTGCTGCCTGCTTCTTATTTATAATGTCACCAGAAAGTGAGAACAGGCTTTCTCATGGCACTTTTGTAGCCAGCATTGCAAGGTATTTACGTGCCAGATATGCTAAAAATTCGTAGGCCCCTTCATGCTTCGGCCACCATTCCAGAAGACATGCTTTCACGCAGATGATGCTTATTAAAAAAATAATAAATTAATTAAATTTATGACTGAACTCCTTGGGGGACAGGAGAATTGTATGTCCCCATCTCTGTTTTACCTGCATTCTGCCATATATTTCATCTTATAGCAGTCTCAGATGATGACCCAGCACATGTTGTTCATTGTAAGAACACTTTCACAGCAGATTTGACAAAACGCAAAGAAGGTACCAATGTGAGATTTCTAAGGATGGATACAGCACTTGACCCAAGATTTAAGAAGCTGAAGTGCCATCCAAAATCTGAGAGGGACGAGGTGTGGAGCATGCTTTCAAAAGTCTTAAAAGAGCAACACTCCGATGTGGAAACTACAGACCCGGAACCTCTTCTACTGGTGCCATCTGATTCAGATAATGAAAATGAACATGCGTCGGTCTGCTCTGCTTTGGATCGTTATCGAGCAGAACTCGTTATCAGCATGGACGCATGTCCTCTGGAATGGTGGTTGAAGCATGAAGGGACATATGAATCTTTAGCGCATCTTGCACGTAAATATCTTGCGACGCCGGCTACAACAGTGCCATGCGAACACCTGTTCTCACTGTCAGGTGACATTGTAAACAAGAAGCGGGCAGCATTACGTCCTGCAAATGTAACCAACCTTGTTTGTCTGAGGGATTGGCTGAACAAGAAGTAGGACTGAGTGGACTTGTAGGCGCTAAAGTTTTACATTGTTTTATTTTTGAATGCAGTTTTTTTTTGTACATAATTTTACATTTGTAAGTTCAACTTTCATGATAAAGAGATTGCACTACAGGACTTGTATGAGGTGAATTGAAAAATACTATTTCTTTTGTTTTTTTACAGTGCAAATATTTGAAATAAAAATAATAATATAAAGTGAGCACTGTACACTTTGTATTCTGTGTTGTAATTGAAATCAATATATTTGAAAATGTAGAAAACATCCAAAATATTTAAATAAATGGTGGTATATTATGGTTTAACAGTGCGATTAATCACGATTATTTTTTTTTAAACGCTTGCCAGCCCTACTTTTCATACAATACAAAAACCAGGGGTCACTCAATTAAATTAATAGGCAGCAGGTTTTATACAAACAAGAGGAAGTATTTTTTCACACAACGAACAACTACCCTGTGGAACTCGTTGCCAGGGGATGCTGTGAAGGCCAAAAGTATAACTGGGTTCAAAAAAGTACTGGATAAGTTCCTGAAGGATAGGTCCATCAATGGCTATTAGCCAAGATGGTCAGGGATGCAGCCCCATGCACAGGCCCTAAATCTCTGACTGCCAGAAGCCGGGGAGTGACGAGGGGGTGAATTACTCCGTAATTGCCCTGTTCTGTACACTCCCCCGATGTTCTGGTACAGGCCAGTGTCGTAGATGGGACACTGGGCTAGATGGACATTGGTCTGACCCATTATGGCAACTCTTATGTTCTTATACCATCGCTAGGGTTTCTTTTGTTCCTAATATACTTAAACGCCTTCTTGTCGTCCTTACCCCTGCCAGCCATGGATTTGTCCCTGAATTCTTTAGCTTCCCTCATCAATTTTCCACACATCATAACATTTAATTTATATCAATTACTATCTACTATTTGTAAAAAGCGACAAAGAGTCCTGTGGCACCTTATAGACTATCAGAGGTACTGGAGCATAAGCTTTCATGGGGAGAGGGATAGCTCAGTGGTTTGAGCATTGACCTGCTAAACCCAGGGTTGTGAGCTCAATCCTTGAGGGGGCCATTTAGGGAATGAAGGTAAAAATCTGTCTGGGGATTGGTCCTGCTTTGAGCAGGGGTTGGACTAGATGACCTCCTGAGGTCCCTTCCAACCCTAATATTCTATGAATACATCTATAAGGTGCCACGGGACTCTCTCTCACTTTTTACAGATCCAGACTAACATGGCTACCCCTCTGATACTATCTATTTGTTTGAATTGCTGCCTTCACTTCCCCACTGTCCTCTTTCCTTCTTGATTGTGAAATTCTGCCTTTTGGGCCATCTCAACCTCTTTTTAAACAACTCCTAAGTTTCATTCATATTTTTCCTACACATCAGTTTTGTTCATTATTTCCCTCACTTGTGGGGAATGAGCCCTTTCTAAGCACCAATGACATATATTACGGACTGGGTCTGTCCTCTCTTTGCCCATTCTGAATGTAATCAGGTCCGGTCACTGGTCCCAAGGCAGCTGCCAGCTTCCAATCCAGTGTTCACTTCATATTTCTCTGTCATCCTGAAGGCCCAAATACAGTTACCTTGTGGTAGAAAATTATCATTGTCTATGTTTGGAAACTCGCCCGAGGTTCTACTACCCGCTGCGCGAGACTGCCACAGATCCCAGATGACACCCCTATGTTACGATGCAGCAAGATGTGGAATCTTATCCCAGGGAAGGGCTGGGAGCCCCATCACTGGGCACGTTTACAACTAGCCTGGATAAAACGACAAAAAAGCAACTATAGGAATAACCAGCGTTTGCTTGGGAGCAGGGACTATAGAGCCTGGCCTCCGTCAGATACCATGGTGATGGGCCCTGCAGAAATGCAGCCAGACTGGCTAGGAAGAGGAGTCTGCATGGGACACGTCTACACTACCACTGCTGTCTCTACTTCCTCCTTTGCCATTGTCTCTTCCAAGCCACAGGCCATCCTGAGCTAGTGCTCCCCCCTGTCATGCTGGGCTCGTGTTTGGCACCAATACAGGCCTTTAGAGAAGTCATCCCAACCCACCATCCCCAATAATCCCCGAGAGCGCTACACCCCAGCGCCAGCCGATCCTTTCCACGGGGCATGTCTACACTACCGCGCGACATCAGCACAGCTGTAGCACATCTGTTGGAGACACGCTATGCCAATGGGAGAGTTCTCATTACTCCACCTCCGGGAGAGGCGGAAGCGATGTCGGCAGGAGAGCGTCGCCCGCTGACATAGCGCGGTGAGGACAGCGCTTTACACCGATGTAACTTAAGTCGCTCGGGGGGGCGTTGTTTTCACACCCCTGAACGACATAAATCATAGCGATTTAAGCAGTAGCGTGGAGCAGCCCGGAGTCTGCGGCTGATCCGGGGAGAGCTGCGCTCGCTGCCAGCGTTCCCTGCCAGGTGTAAACGTGGAGCCAGCTCCCTTCAGCGCAGGAGCAAGGTGACAATGGAGACATAAGCACAGCACACTTCACATTCCCAGCCTCGACACCGGAGCAGCACAAGAGGAAGGGAGCCAATCGGACAGGCTGGCTTGTTTGAGCCGGGCCGTAATTGTCACCTAGCTCAAGAGCTCTCAGTACCTGGACGGCGAGTGGAAACGCTGCTGTGAATCTGTGAAAAATGAATTACACTCCCGACTCAAGAACAACACACAGCATGTACAGCCCAACAGACACCCCGTCACCAGAAAGGCTCCGGGATCGACCAGTCTGCCCAGACCTGCCTTCCCCTCCCCTAGGAAGAACTCAAAGCTTGTTCAGCGCTGCTTGCGCGTTCCCATGGCTAGTCGCCAGGCCGCGCGAGCACCGGCTGGGAGGTGCGAGTCCCAGCCTGTGCGGGTGTACACGTCTGGCTAATCACAGAGGCACAGGACTAACCACCCGAGTACAATCCCATCTGCTGTCCCAGGTACACCGCCACCCTTGCCCCTGCAGCCACACTGCTGTTAGCAGGCGCCTGGCTGCCCACGCTGCTAATCCCACCTCCCCGCTGCAGTGCAGACCTACCAACAGAGCAGGGAAGGGGCTCGAGCCAACCCCGAGTCCTGAGCTCAGAGGGAGACTTGGGGGGCAATTACCTCAGGCTACCCTACTGGGGGTTCGTGCACCCTCCTCCGCAGCCACTGGTGCTCCACGGGCAGTGATGGAACCCGGGCCTGAGCCAGACTGGCGGTGTCCTGCCCCTTGCCGGGGAAGGAGGCCCGGGAGCTGGACGACAGGCTGCGGCTCTGAGCAAATCACCTCCCCTCTGCAGCTCTGTTCCCCAGACCTGCAATGGAAGCAAGGGAGGCAGAGCCCAACCCCCGGGGGCTGTGAGGATAATTCACTAACGTAAGTGTGGCCTTGGGCGACCACTTCCCTCCCTATGCCTCGGCTCGCCCTTGCATCACTGTCCATCTAGCGTATAAAGCATTTGGGGAAGGGGCTGTCCTCACCACGGGCTTGCACTGGGGCTGGTTTCGATGGCCGCCTCTAGCTTCTACCGTCCTCCCGTCCTGCCACGTGCTTCCGAGCCCTGGGCTGGATGGCACTCCACGAGCAAAGGGCTATCCGTAGCTGCTGCAGGAGCCCAGGTCGCAGCTGGGAAGAGGGAACCAACTTCCCGGGGCCTGTCCTCAGATATGAGCGTCCGTCCTCTGCAAGGCTGCGGGTGGCCCTGGAGCCGAATGCAGGCCCCAGTGTAACTGCAGCTCCCTTGAAACAGGACGACGTTAGTGGGGAGAGGCTGGGTTGAGCAGGGGTTCCCCGGACGGCAGGAGGCTGGGCCGATAAACGGCCGCTCAGGAACGCAGCGCCAGGCTCAGGATGCTGTGGGGGCTGGGGAGTGACGCAGCAGCAGCTTGCTTAGCACAGACAGCAGCCACGGCAAAGGCTCTGTAACTCCCCCTGCCAGACGCACAGTTCCAAGCGACAGGTCGCAGCACAATCCCTGCCCTAGCAACGCACAATCCGCAGCCAAACACGGGGGGGCGGGCCACAGTGCTCCGATCCAGACAGGTGTAGAGACAATCCTCAGTGACCGCGAGCCGCGCGGGGGCACGGCAGAGACGGCTCCGGAGGACGGGCTGGAAGAAGGGGGGAGTGGCCATCTGGATCAGCCGGAGGGGGGTTCAGTGGACTCAGGGACGGATGGAGGCAGCGTCTGAGTGAGCAACGAAGGCTTTCCCCAGCAGCCCAGGGCTCTGCACGGACGCCTAGGCCAGGCCCAGAAAGTCTGGCACGGCTTGCACGTGGCGCTCTCACACTGCTGACAGAGACAGGGGCCATCGTGCAGACTGAGTGCCCAGGTCAGTGCAGACAGACCAGCACTGCTGTGCTTAGCCCCATGGCGCACGGAGGGTTAACAAACACCAGCTGTCACCATGTGCTGTGCTTGTCCATGGGGACCAGTCCCCGGTGAGCCCAGCCCAGACCCGGCACTGCCCAAGGAGTGTACGTCCTTAGAGGACAGAGACAGCACACAGGCTTCTCTTGTTGGGTATACACAATCTCCCCAAATAGCCTTGCTCTCTGCCCCGGGTCCCCAGCCGACCTGCTCCAGCACTCACCTTCCACCCCACCCCACCATGGGAAGAGACAGGCTCGGGGGGAGCAGGGGGGGAGGAAAAATTACTCACACACTGGCCAGAGGGGTCTGAAACTTCCTGAAGGGGGATCCATGGGGCTAGTCCTGCTCCCCCCACATTGCCTGGCTGCAGCTCTGCTCTCCCCCTCCCACACAGATGGGGGGGCTCCCAGGAAGGGGGCAGGAACTGCACGGCCAGTCCCTCCACACACCCAGAGTCCAACGGCAGTGACTCTGCCCAGCATACGCTGCCACTCCCACGGGGCTGCGCCCGCGACGGTGCCATGGGGAGGGCTCCAGGGAGAGGGCAGGATGGAGAAGGCTAGAGCCGACCTCCACAACCCTGAGCGGAGCTGGGAGACCCAGGTGGTCTGGTAACCTCCATCCTGAGTCAGTCTCACAGCCTGACACCCAGCCACACTGTCCAGAAACTCCCCACACCCGCCCCACTGCTGTCCTCATGCTTAACAAGCCAGCTGTCAGGCGGGGACTACATGTCCCAGCATCCCACGCAGACAGGCCGCTGGTCAGAGCAGACCATTGCATTCCGATCTGGAGCCTGGGAGCTGCGCTAGGGCTGGCAAGCCGGCCCTGAGGCTGGGCAGAGCTCTGTCTGCCCCGCATGAGAGCGCTCTCCCAGTGCCGGATCAAGGTGCGTTAGAGGTTTCAGTCCCCTTGCGATAGCACAGAGCTTCTGGCACGTCCCGCCTCCCAGTACCCAGGAAACGCCTAGGCTGGTCCTGCAGGAGCGCCCAACCTGACTGCTCTTAAGCAGAGAGGTGCCTGCCGAGCAGCCCATAACAGAGCTAGCTCCAGAGCGCTGCCGGCCGTCGGGGCTGAGCCCCGGCATCTGCACGGCTGGCCCAGTTCCCGTGGCTGGAGCTCCTGCCGGCTGCATCCCGGGTTGCAAGGGGAGCCCAGCAGAGCGAACACAGGGCTGGGACCAGGCAGTACTGGATTCTACTGCTGGCTCTGCTGCGTTCCCTTGGGCAAGTCAGCCCACCTCTGTGCCTCAGTTTCCCTCAGACTAGTGGACGATAATGTTTGTAAACAGGCCCACCAAACAGGGCTCCTTTCAGTATGGCAGGCCGGGCCAGAGCCCAGTGCCCAGGGAAGGTGTGTCAAACACGGGGAAGCAGGAGGGGCTGGGGACGACTCCTTGGGGTGCTGCCACCTCATGGAGGCTGGAGAGTGTCTGGCAGACACCCCTGGAAAGCAGCATGTCTGCCCCAGGGCTCCTAGCCTGCTCCACCTCCCCATGACACTGCTGTGCAAGGATCTGCCCTGCCCCGTCTCCTCCAGTGACCACACGCCCCCTGCCACAGCACCCTCATGAGCTTCCTAAACCCACCCAGAGGGGACAGCCCCGGGAACCAGCTGGTTTGCGAAGGAGCAATCACTGACGCCAGGAGTCACAGCACAGACGCCTCTGTCACTGCCCAGGGCCAGGCACTGAGGTCAGCGGCTCTGCGGCTCCCAGCAGCCCCGGGAAAGGGCTCCGAACGGGGTGCTGGCAGGAAAGGGACACAGGACTAGGGCACTGTCCAGCGGCCCTCCCTCACACAGCACTGCGGGTGCTGCTCGTGGTCTGCCAGTCCCACCCGCCGGCTGCGGACGAGCCCTGCGGCCAGCCCAGAGGGCAGAGAGAACCCAGCTCTGCCCCTCTGACAGTCAGTGTGGGAAGATCCGAGCGGCACTGTAAGGGGGGGCTACCTACTCCCCGGCCTGGTGTGACGTTCTCTACGCCGGGGAATGTAGGGCACCTTGTGAATAATTCATGGCAAAGCTGTCCCTATTTATAGGAACAGCAGCACCCGGAGCTACTGGAACGGTGCGAACCAGTCACCCAGGCTGCGGCCCGCTCACGGGGACAGCGCTGCTCCGGGAGGCTGCACTCTGCCCGCCTGGCGCGGACATTCCCGCCTAGTGACTCCAGCAGGCCTGGGAGTCTGGGGACGCGGCCTCAGTCACTTGCAGGGGAAGGTGCCCATCTGCTTTTCCCCAAATACAGAACAGAAATCTCCATTGAACACTTCTGCAGGTCACTGATTTATTCTTGTGTCCCTTTGCTTCCCCTGTCAATTTTCTACAATTCCTCACTTCTGACTTATATTCATTACTGCTAACTTTCCCTTACTTCCATTTGTTATATATATATTTTTAGCATTTTTTTATAGCTGCCTTCACTGCCCTGCTAAACCAGGTCAGTTTTTTAACCAATACGGCCTTCTTCCTCGATTGTGACTTTGGGGGCATCTGGTGAGGTGCTCTTAAATAATTCCCAATTATTCACATTTCTCTGCTTCAATTCTTCTTCCCAGCTGATTTGGCTGATAATTGTTTTCAGCTCTGTGAAACTGGCCCTGTTCAAGCACCAAGTGTGTCTATTACCGGTCTGGACTTTATTCTGCTTGCACTTTCTAAATGTGATCAAGTCATGATCACTTGTACCTAAGCTACCAGTAGCTTTTAGTTCTGCAATGAGTTCCTCTTTACCAGCTAGGACAGGGTCTAATACAGAATTCCCCTGTTTTGGCTGCAACCCTTACTGAGTTAGACTGTCATCTGTACTGTTCAGAAATTCCAGGGATGTTTTAGTTACTGGCAGCATGAGACCTCCCGCACTTGTTACTCCATGATCACGCAGCTATTTCTACACATTACACATAGGTGCGTTAGGAGCCAGTCCCCCTGTTCCCTCATGTCATTTGGGGGTCTGTAGCAGACACCAAGTAGTGCCCCATCTTGTGCTTTGTTAGGACATTGATCTACAGGCATTCCAGATCCTTTTCTGAGGGCTCGTCTTTACTAACCGCCAGGATCGGCGGGTAGAAATCCATCTCTCGGGGATCGCTATATCGCGTCTCGTCAGGACGCGATAATCGATCCCCGAATCGACGCGCGTACTCCACCAGCCCAGGTAGGAGTAAGCGCTGTCGACGGGGGAGCCGCGGTGGTCGATTTGCCGCCGTCCTCACAGCGGGGTAAGTCGGCTCGGATACGTCGAATTCAGCTACGCTAGTCCCGTGGCTGAATTTGCGTATCTGAAATCGATCCCCCGCTGTAGTGTAGACGTATCCTTAGACTTTAAGGTCAGGAAGGATCATCATGATCATCTAGTCATTGCCGGCCAGAAAACCTCACTCATCACTTCTGGTTGAGTCACTGACGGCCTCAAATCAGGATTTAAAGACTTCCCGTGACAGAGACTCCACCATTCACATAAGTTTAAACCAGCGAGTGACCCGGGCCCCAGGCTGCAGAGGGAGGTGAACACCCCACGCCCCCCCGAGTCTCTGCCAATCTGACCCGGGGAAAATTCCTTCAGAGCCCCAAATCCGGGGATCAGTTAGACCCTGAGCATGTGGGTGAGACTCACCAGCCAGACAGCTGGGAAAGAATTCTCTGCAGCAACTCAGAGCCACCCCCTACCCCTCCATGTCTCATCGCCGGCCGGTGGGGATATTTGCTACCAACAGTCGCAGATCGGCCATCGTAGGCAGCCCCATCACACCAACCCCTCCATGAACTTATCACGCTCAGCCCTGAAGCCAGTTCGGGGTTCTGGCCCACTGCTCCCCTTGGAAGGCTGCTCCAGAACTTCACTCCTCTGATGGCTAGAAACCTTAGTCTAATTTTAAGCCTAAACTTGTTTATGGCCAGTTTCTAGCCACGTGTTCTTGTGCCCAGATTGGTGCTTAACTTAAATAACTCCTCTCCCAGCCTGGTGTTTATCCCTGGGATGGATTGACAGAGTTATCAGTGCCTCGGAAACAGGTAATCCCATTCTGACAAAGAGTGCCTCTCCCCCGCTGGGTCCTTCCTCTGCCCACTGGGTCCTTCCTCAATACAGACCCAGAAGCAGACTCCCTCCACGCAGGGACCTGAAGTGCACACACTAACTCCGTGTCCCAGCGGGCCCCAAAACGTTGGGCTGCTTTAAAAAGAGCAAACAGCTGTATGCACAGACCCATCTGGTTCCAGCTGAGGGATGCGAGGATGCCAGGGCAGCCGAGAAAGGAAAACGGACATACCCAAGGCGTTTTTTACTGCCAACTCCTCCCTCCAGCAACTACAGCAAGCTGGGGAAGGGAACAGCAGCTGAGGCCAGCACATCTGTGCACTTGCTACATGAGACGGCCCAGAAGGGTCTAGTCTACTTTTGAAATGCCATGCCTAGAGCACGTGACCCCAAAGCGGGGCTCGGAGAGTTCAGAAGGGCTCGGAGGCATAGGTGCATTCCCATGGCTGGGGCGGAGGATTTTCACTCCACATTCCCCTCCGGACCCTCTAGCGGGGATGGCATGTCACCCCTGGCTGGGGCAGCAGGCCTGCAATACACAGCTCTGACACGGCCACACCACCATTTGTCCAGGGAAGGCACAAATAATTGAGATGCCAGTTTAGGGAAATGC